CGCAGCCTTGGCCCCGTCGAAGCAGCAGCAGTCGCCGACGAGGAAGACCAGGGGCGACGGTCAGCTGGTAGCACTTGGCGGAGGTGAAGAAGATGATGATTCGAAGGTCAGCCTGTCGGGCATCTTCCAGCAGGCCATTGGCGACGAGACAGGCGATGCCGAGGAGAACCCCTTCGAGAAATCGCTCAGTCTGTGTTCAGTTGGCAGCCTGATGACTGGAGGAGACTTGTCAGGTTTGGATAAGTTCAAGAACCTGGCGAGCATCACGAAGAAGGGCGACTTCAAGAACTGCCCGATCGTCACGAAGCTGCTCTGCGCCAGGATCCAGAGCCATCTACTTGGGGTTGCTGCGACTGGGGGGGCATACGTGAAGGCCCACGGCGACGCTTACGTCTCCCTTGGTACCGACAAGGCTGGCCACGCCAAGATCGATGACTTGTTCCAGCTCACTGATGGCCCGTCTGAGTTTCTCATGTGGGGCAGAGTCGTCAGCAGGGCAGTGGCGAAGAACATCAATCGCCAAAATCTGGCCCACTTGGGCTGCTGCCATGGCGTAGACCTGTTCCTCGATGGGTCTGGCCACCTCGAGTACGGGCACTCTGACACGTGCTACGCTTGGCACATCAAACCCGTCAAGAAGCCGACGCCGACGCCGAAGGCCAAGGCCAAGGCGAAAGCCAAGGCGACATCACCCGCCGACCAGTCCCCCGAGACCGCTACGCACAAGTTCGGATACACGCCTTGGACCACGGATATCACTCTCAATGACAACGTGTATGAGTTTGTGTATGCTCTCCCCACTCTCGTCAGGGACGGCGATGCCTCTGCAACGGACGGACCGCTGAGGAGGAAGTTGAGCGAGATCGATACAGATGCTGATTTTTGTTGCGAAGGAGGGCGGCCCGTCTACTAAGAAGCCGCGCGTTTCGAAGGCCGCTCAGTTTTGTTCCCGCTGAGCTCACCTGCCTGGCTTTCGTCTACTCTACTCCTCGACTCGGCAGCTCCTCACACATACCAGGTTAGTTCCCTCATATTCCTTCCCCTCTGAGCCTCTCGGGACCTTTTCGCACGCAGTGCCGCAATGCCGTACCCTGGTAGCTGAGCCCGACGGCTGGCCGATCCTCTCCTGCTCCTGACCATCCTCTTCCCCCCCCTCCGCCTCCTCCTCATCCTCTTCCTCCTCTTCTCCTCCTCCTCTTCACCGTCCTCACCCTCCAGCTCGAGCTCAGCGAGTTTCGGTTCACTGTTCTAGGAAAGGCTCACCCTCCAGCTCGAGCTCAGTGAGTTTCGGTTCACTGTTCTAGGAAGGGGTGCTAGGATTTTGATCTGCTGACGGCGTGTGCGAGCATGTACACACAGGGTGGACGCTGCGGGATTCGCCACCCGCTCCAGTGCGTTTTTCAGCAGACAACCTCGACAGAGGGAAGGAGAGGAGAACGAGGAGGAAGAATAGCGGGTCAGGAGGAGGAGCAGGTTTTCTTTGCTAGCGCAGCCCTCGCCAGACACTCGACGAACTCGAAAATGTGAAAACAAGTCGCATGCCTACCTCTTGCTCTCCCTTCTCTGCCTCCTGGCCCGCTCTCTCCTCCCCCCCTGTCCTCCTACACCTCCCTCAGAGCACGGCCCAACCCGAACCGAAAGTCGAGGGACACCTTATGGTTTATGGCTGGCATGCCACAGCGATTCGTCGGGCGGCTCGTCTGCGTTAGAAAACAACGAATACGTAAAGCGCACCGTTTCATATTGCGAAGGCCTTACGGCCAGTGCCGCCGACCCTGAAGACGACGACTACGACGACGACGAAAGCGCGCCGTTTCATATTTGGGGCGTCTTGGTTATGTTTTTTTGGGGTGTGTTCAGAGAAACATTGCAACCTCGGAGGTTGAATTTAAGCGGCCTGCCCGTGGCCATAGCGACCGCGCAAGGCGCGCGAGTCAACGCCGAAAGTTCTCGAATCCATGCTCTCACAAGATACTCACTCCCATCTGCCTCGTCACCTCCCTGCGTTTCCACAGCCAGGACAACGTTTCGTGGCCCCACAAACCTCCACCGAAGGCCCCAGTGGCAGGGTACGCATGCGTCCCCCCGCCCATTTCGGCACACCCCTCACACGGTTGGTGGCCCCACCGAAGTCCCCAACGGCAGGGTTCGCCTGCGTCCCCCCGCCCATTTCGGCACACCCCTCACACGGTTCGTGGCCCCATAGGGAGCTCCACCGAAGAGACCAGCAGCAGGGTTCGCATGCGTCCCCCCGCCCATTTCGGCACACTCCTCGCACGCTTCGTGGCCCTGCAGGGAGCTCCACCGAAGGCCCCAGTGGAAGGGTTCGCATGCGCCCCCCCGCCCATTTCGGCACAGGATCGCGCCCCATGGGGAGCTCCACCGAAGGCCCCAGTGGCAGGGTTCGCATGCGTCCCCAGGCCCATTTCGGCACACCTCTCACACGTTCCGTGGCCCCATAGGGAGCCCCGCCGAAGGCACCAGTGGAAGGGTTCGCATGCGCCCCCCCGCCCGTTTCGGCACACCCCTCACACGGTTCGTGGCCCCATAGGGAGCTCCACCGAACGCCCCAGTGGCAGAGTTCGCATGCGTCCCCCCGCCCATTTCGGCACACCCCTCACAAGGATCTTGGCCCCGCAGGGAACTCAACCGAAGGCTCCTGCGACAGGGTTTGCATGCGTCCCCCCGCCCAGTTCGGCACACTCCTCACGAGGATCGTTGCCCCATAGGGAGCTCCACCGAAGTCCCCAGCGGCAGGGTTCGCATGCGTCCCCCCCGCCCAGTTCGGCACACTCCTCACGAGGATCGTGGCCCTTGCCCCATAAGGAGCTCCACCGAAGGCCCCAGCGGCAGGGTTTGCATGCGTCCCCACGCCCATGTCGGCACACCCCTCACGAGGTCGTGGCCCCACAGGGAGCTCCACCGAAGGCCCCTGCGACAGGGTTTGCATGCGTCCCCCCGCCCATTCTGGCATACACCTCACGAGGATCGCGGCCCCATAGGGAGCTCCACCGAAGGCCCCTTTCGGCACACCCTTCACGAGGATCGTGGCCCCATAGGTTGCTCTACCAAGGACCCCAGCGGCAGGGTTTGCATGCGTCCCCCCGCCCGTTTCAGCACACCCCTCACGAGGATCGTGGCCCCGGAGGGAGCTCCACCGAAGGCCCCAGCGGCAGGGTTTGCATGCGTCCCCCCGCCCATCTCGGCACGCCCCTTACGAGGATCGCGGCCCCATAGGTAGCTCAACCGAAGGCTCCTGCGACAGGGTTTGCATGCGTCCCCCCGCCAATTCAAGCACACCCCTCCCGAGGATCGCGGCCTCATAGGGAGCTCCACCGAAGGCCCCAGCAGCAGGGTTTGCATGCGCCCCCCCGCCCACTTCGGCACACTCCTCACGAGGATCGCGGCCCCATGGGGAGCTCCACCGAAGGCCCCAGCGGCAGGGTTTGCATGCGTCCCCCCGCCCACTTCGGCACACCCCTCCCGAGGATCGCGGCCCCATAAGGGTTTCCACCGAGAGCAGTACCCACATCGCGGCACTCACAGCTGCATATGGTTGTGTCCTTCGCCAGGATAATTAGTATGGGGCTGGGGACGCCAAAAAAAGTCCCCCCCCACCCCAAACGAATTTGGCCCTCCACGGGCCCCCGGGCAATTAATTCAGACGACCCTGGAGAATCTCACGAGAGCCCGAAGACAGCCCCAGACGGGTTCCAAGCGTTCCAGCGCGCTCCCGAAACGACCCCAGAGAGCCCCAATACTGTCCACGACGACCACAAAGAAGCCGTCACACCCCCAAAGATCGCTCCGGAACGTCCCGAGAGGCCTCTAAGAGCACTTCCAAGAAACCCCCAAGAGGCAAAATCGCTGATTTTTCAAAAAAGTTTTCGGTGAAATTTGGGGTTCTCGTCTTTTCGGCTTCCCGACGCTCCAAGACGGCGGTCTTCTGGGCGTCCGAAGCCGCCTGGGAGGCTCCCAAATCGCCCCACAACCATCCGAAAAGGCTTCTAGGCAGTCCAAGAGAACCCCCAAGATGGCCCTGGGAGAGTCCCATGGCAGCCCAAAATGACCCCAAGACACCCTCCGAAGCATTCCAAATCGTGACCCAGTCGTTCAGGGAGACCGCGGTTGGAGGCAGGGTGGCCCGAGGAAGCCCCCAGAGGTCCCCAGAAGACGCCCAGGAGGCCTCCAGAAGGTCTTAAGAAAGCATGAAAAACTGTTGTGAAGCCCCTAGAGGCTCTCCAAGGAGGAGCCTCCGCAAAAAGAGCTGAGGAGGATGGGGATAATGCGCAGGGTATGACGAGAATGAGGAAACAGAAGCATGGAGGAAGGATAACGAATCACATTATCATAACGGCGATGCTGGAAAGAGCAACAAGGAGATATCGCTAATTTGTCGGCTTGACCTTCCTGCCATTCCGCCTGCATACCAAACTTCAAGAACCAAGGTGCATGATGCGAAGCGCCACTGTAGTCTTGCATTGTAGTATATATATATATATATATATATGTGTGTGTGTGTGCGTGTGCACGCGCGTCTCTGCATGTTTTTATATAAGAATGCGTATACTTACATGTATATCTGTACAAACAAAAGTATGCATATATACATGTATGTATGCACTGATTCGCAGATTCACCAGAAGCACGCGCGAACGCAAGGTCAGTAGCAAACACGCGCAGGCGAAACTGCAAAACTTGCTCTCATTGAATCCGAACAGCCCCAGCCATGGAACAAGCTGCACGCATGCGTGCGCGCGCAGACACTCATGTGAATCTGGCTTGCCGAAACAAACGTGCGCGTGCGTCAAATTTTCTCACTCTGCACTCTACGCTGTTTGTGGCACATGGTGCACGCGATAAATGACAGCATCATCCAAAGGCGTCAACACTGCCATCGCAACCGCCCAAATTGCTCCAACGTGAGTGCGGCGCAGGCAGCCAGAAATCATCACCAAGACAAGGGGCATCGTAAAGGTATAACGCACAAGCTCGGCTGCCTTGCATGGCTCTGTGGCATCCACGACGAGCCGCAACTCAACCGGCGCCGCAGGTGCGAGACGTGCAGCAGCAGCTGACGCTGTGGCGCCAGCCGGGGCAACCTCGCGACGCGTGCTGTTTTCCCCTCTTTCATCGCGCAGGCGCTGACGAGGCTCTGCCCTCTGGAAGCGACGACGACGACGACCAGGACGACGACGACGACGACGAGGTCGAGGACGACGACGACGACGACGACGACGACGACGACGACGACGACGACGGCGACGACGACGACGACGACGGCGGCGGTGACGACGACGGCGACGGCGACGACGACGACGATACTTTGGGCTCGCCGCCGGCCTCGCGAGCTCCCCTGGCCCCCTGTGGGCCTCCAGACCCCCCTCTCCTGGAGCGGTCCTCTCTCCGCCAGCCGCCTGCGCTCTCCACGCGAAGACTGCGGCGCGTGCGGCCGGGGCTCCCTTCGGCGAGCTGCTCCGTGAGTCGTCGCACCCGAGCGCGCGGTGTGCTGGCCCTCGGACGATCCGGATTCTGCTGCGACCTCCAGGATCAAGGGTTTTCCTGCGGTTGTCTCCATGAGATGCGCCTCCTCTGCGGTGGGCGCGCACACGAGCCCAGCACCAAGGATAGACACAGGAGGCAAGAAGCGTGCAAAGGAGCCAGTGGATGTGCAGCGAGAGGCAATTGATGGTCGGACGATGGGCGCAGGAGGCAGAGGTCGGATAGAAGATTTTGAGCAGGGAGACGCAGGGCAAATACACGGGAGCCTCGTAGCAGAAGTGTGAGCGATAGAAGGCGAACCATCACGGCGGAGGAAGAGGACGACGCAGAGCAGGAACACGCTACAATCATCAAGTGGCACGCGTGCTCGCTTTTTGCTGGCCGCGCTATCGGCCCTCGATGGAAGGAGTGCAGAAGGCAGCCAGACATCCAGAGCGCAGGAGGGGGATTGGGTGGAGAAGGGAGGAGGGAAGATGAGGACGACGACAAAAGGGGCAGTGGAGGCGGATAGGTAGGAGGGGGATGTAGGAGAGAGGAGTCAGGCGAGACGAGGGAGAGGAGGCGGCGGGGGAGCAGGCGAAGCTTGCAGGCCGACGCAGATGGCAACGCTGAAAGCTGGAGTCGGAGTCGGCAGCCAAGAGTGCAGATACGGCCGGCTCGTGTCGTGCTGACGTCGGCTCTGATTGCTGACATCGCGGGGAGCTCTCAGTCGTGAGCGGTCGGCCGTTTCCGAAACGGCAGATCGTTCCACATCGACCGAGGCCGGGCCGCCGCCGGCGTTCCACGTTGAACGCGGGCGGCGGCGTCGCCGCCAGTCCACACGACGCGAACCTACCGTAGCAAAACTTCTGATCGTATGCGTCCGCTGCGGGTTGCCGCCGAGCCGCGGTGGCTGTCGAACCCCGCGGGTTATGATGTTCCACCCTACCTTGGTCTCGGCCACCAGAAAGAATTTCGAGCACCGGGAAAGCACCGAAACTGGAGGGCTTTCACGTGTCGGGCTCTGGGAGGCGATGCTCGCTCCACGCTGCTTCTGTACTTGTTCTGGGTGCTCGAAGTACGACGGGAGCAGCACAGCCCGAGGCCAGCGCCCCAGGTTGCAGCACCGCCGCGCGAGCGCCAGGGGGGCGTGGGCCCTTCGGCGCCGCGCGCGCAGGCCTCGGGCAGCGGCGCGCGAACAGCGGCCACCGAGGAGAGAGGGGGGGGGGGCAGCCTGCACGGAGCCGAACTGGCGCCGAGGGTAACAGGCCTCGAACTGGTCCTTATCTTTATGTTGCTCCCATCGTGCTCAAAGGCCACGTCCCATACATAGTTTTGAGCACCCAGAAACAAGATCGAAACGGCGTCGAGCGAGTATCATCCCCCAGGGCCCTGCGCGTGGAAAACTTCTCAGTTTCGGTACTTCACTGGTGCTCGAAATTCTTTCTGGTGGTCGAGGCTAAAGTAGGCTGGAACATCAGACGCCTCGGGCAGAACGACGCTGGAGCCGAAGTGGCGCCGAGGGTAACCAGCCTCGAATATATCCATACCCCTGAAGCTGGCAAGCAAAAAGCGACGACAATCTTAGGGACAGGGCCTCAGGAACTGAGGGGATCCTCAAGATCGGCATCGAGGTCAGGTGATGCCAAACATAGGGATAGGGAGATTATTATGACTGCTAGCGGGGCCATGACGGATGCTGACGCATAGCCACAAACGAATGAGAGCGAAGAACAGCAGACCGAAGGCTCATTCCTTGTGACCCAATGCTCGGCGAGCCCGCCGAATGTGCATAACAGAATCTGGACCGCATCGAGATGCCGCAACACAACAATCACCTCAAGATATCGTGAGTGAAATGATGCAGCCGAACAGCATGGAACGAAGCGACCTTCGCATCAGGAAAAACAGGGATGGCGGGTCGGCCGCCTTTGGAACCAACCCCTCCCGCTCTGAAAAAACTGCGTACATAACGGGAAATTCTGCTAACTGCTAGCGGGGCCATGACGGGTGCTGGCGCAAAGCCGCAAAAGAATACGAGCAAAGAACAGCAGATGGGAGGGTCAGACCGAAGGTTCATTCTTTGTGACTCAATGCTCGGCGAGCCCACCGAGTGTGCAGAACAAAATCTGGACCGCATCGAGATGCAGCAGCACAAAAATCACCTCAAAATATCGCGAGTGAAATCATGCAGCCAAACTGCCAACCCATTGGTCTCGTCGAAGGGCGGGCGAGCATCGGGACAAACAATGCAATTCATCGCGGGGGGAGAGCGACCAGCTAGCTCATCTTCACGGGCAGGCCGCGGCGGAGCCGCGCAAGGTTCTGCGCCGCAAACAGAGCTTTGCCTGCGAGAGTGGAAGACGCGGCCCCTATCTGACACTCCAGGAGCACAGCGCCACGCGCCACATCGCGAGGCCCCATCGGAGCGATTGCGGGGCAACTTACCTTTCTTTTCGTGGCGGGCCACAAATTTTGACGTCGACCACCTGCCTCTCCTTTTGATCTCCGCGAGCGTGAGCAGGTTCCGGCGGGCGGCCGTGGGCGGCCCACCGTGGCGGGCTGACCGCGGGGTGGCCGCGGGCCCGCCGAGGCGGCGCCTAGTCGCGGCTGCCTTCAGGTCCTTCTCGGAGCGGGCCAACGCGAGGGAGGAGAAGACGACGGTCGTTCTGGCGGTCTGGCGGCGCAGCTCCCGCAGCAAGGCCGGGCCGATGCTGGGCCCTGCCCCTTCTGCGTTTGCTGAGCAGCGATGACGCGCGTCTCCTTGTAGCCCGCCGCGGACGGGAGCACGATGTCGTCCTGCTTGGGCTTCAGAACCTCGCCCGGGCGCATGAACGCGTCGTGCTGCGCCGGGAATGTCAAGCCCGCCTCGACGGCCGGCGCCTCGGGCTGGCTCGCGAGGTCGAAGGTGCTGATGGCCGCCGCCTCGATCGGGCGCGGGTCCTCGGAGGTTGGAGGCTCGTCTGGCGGCTCGGCGGCAGCGCGGCGGGCTGACCTCGGGCAGCGATTTGGCGAACATAATCGCACACTGCAGCGCTCGAGTGGCTGAGACATCCGCGCCCTTCAGATGCAGCTCGTCGTTGATGTATTCGACGGCGATCTAGTCGAGGCCCCCAGGGTCGTTCAGCACGGCCAGCGAGTGGTCGTTCTGATGGACATGCAGCTCGAACTTCGCGTGGGCCTGGGCGTAGAGCTCCCTGGTCTCGTCGGACACGGAGCGAGCCTCGACCTGCGCGAAGTCTGATGTGGCCGCGCTCGGGACGACCGCCGCCTGGGCCTGCCGCCGCGCGACGCGGGCCGCAGCCTTGGCCGCGGGAAGCGCAGATGCCGCCGGGCGCCGACGTGTCCGAGACGGTGGGCCGTCGGCAGCCACGATGGCCGTGCTGTCGACCTCGGGCGCCGCCGCCGCTGGCCTGGGCGTGCGCTTCGCAGACGGGCGCATCAGGCTGGGCACGGCGGCGGGCCTGGCTCGCGCCAGCTTCGGCGGCGGCTCGGCCTCGGCAGGCGGGGTGTCGGGCTGCCGCTTGATTGGCTTCGAGATCGGGGTCGAGGCAGCCTGGCCCGAGCTCGTCCCCGCGGGTGGGGCAGCAGGCGCCCCAAGAGCCGACGGCGTGCTCCAAGAGCAATTATCCCAGTGCGACCCTACCTAGGAGTTGGAACCCCTAGGAAAGCAGCATTAGTAGTAACAGTAAAGCTGTGGTAAAGCTGTGGTAAAGCTAAGGTAAAGCTAAGGTACAGTTCAGCTAAAACTGAGCTAAAGCTAAGCTACAGCTTCGCTAAAGCTGAGCTAAACCTAAGCTAAAACTAAGCTAAAGCTAAGGTAGAGTTAAGGTAAAGCTAAGGTAAAGCTAAGGTAAAGCTAAGGTAAAGCTAAGCTAAAGCTAAGCTGAAACTCAACTAAAGCTAAACTAAAACTAAGCTAAAGCTAAGCTGAAGCTAAGCTAAAGCTAAGTTAAAGCTAAGCTAAAGCTAAGCTAAAGCTAAGCTAAATCTAAATCTAAAGCTAAGCTAAGCTAAGCTAAGCTAAGCTTAAGCTAAAGCTAAGCTAAAGCTAAGCTAAAGCTAAGCTAAAGCTAAGCTAAAGCTAAGCTAAAGCTAAGCTAAAGCTAAGCTAAAGCTAAGCTAAAGCTAAAGCTAAGCTACAGCTAGAGCTAAAACTAAATCTAAAACTAAAGCTAAAACTCCCAGGGGACTGGGGGAACCGCGGGGCGGACGCTGGGGGAACCGCCCGGGGCGCTTTCCACTGCCCGGCCCCTTTAAGCCCAGAGAGTAAGAACCCTTCTAGGCAGAGCCTAGGTAGGGAAAAAAACCAATCTGGCGGGGCATCGAGGCGGACGAAGCCTTGGGGGCGGTTGCCGGGCTCTGACGGCGGCCTCCACGGCTGTCCAGCGCCGGGCAGGAGCGCCATCGCCAAGGTGCGCGAGGGCAGGTGCCGACAGACGGGAGCACTGCGCGATGGCGCCGCAGAGAGCCGGGGGATATCCCCCAGCTAGCTCTGTGAGCCACGCGCTGCGGTGCCTGCTGTCGACAGGGGTCGTAACCTTCTCCTGACGGATCAAATGAGGCCCAGTGCATCATCATCCGAGATTCAGAAATTCCCCGAGACGCGGTAACGTGTAGG